CCATGGCGTGTGAGTGACAGTGAAAAGGTGGAAGGCGCGGCAGGCAACCTAGTAGGAGTCCCTAAAAAAATAAAAAAAAAAAAAAAAAAACCAAATCTTTTTCCCGGCCCACCCTTGGCAACCTCTGCGCATACACAAAGCAATACAAGAGGGAAAAAGACGATCCGCAGCACACTCACCATACGCTGCGGATCACAATGCACGATCCGGCCATTCCTTCCGAATGCTCCAAAAAAAACACACACAAAACAAACAAACCCTCTGAAGTGAAACCGAAGCGTGGGCAGGTCTACCGAGAAGTGGAGACCCGCAGGAACAAGTGGGACGACCAGCACACACACATGCTCTCCTTATTCCCTTTGAGCACAGTCCAGGAAGAAAGAATGATATCTCTCACCAAAAAACAAATAGAAAAACAATATAAAACACAAACCAGTTCCATATATTTCGCAGGAATGGTGGTAGTACAAAGTGGGAATTCTCGTTGCTTTACAAAAAAAGGAGCGCCGAGGCGCAGTTAATGTGTGTGGGTACGTCGCATTATGACCGTGTTATACATCTTGAGTGCGTGGCTCCACAGTCCACGGATACACATATACACATATATATGCACATTATTGCCTCACTACACATTGTTTATGCCCAGCCGCTGTTGCTGCTCAGAGAGGCGTCATCGCCACGGCGGCGGCCACGGCGAGAACCGCAAGGGAACTGAGGCCAACAGCCGCAACTGAAGTGTCTGCATGGTCTGGATCCTCCACCGGTGGTGGGGTCCAGGTGTTAGGGAAGGCTGCGCACACGTCGGCGTATTTGGGGCACCTGATGCTCCCCCCGCTCCATTTGTCCCCCGACGGCGCAACCATCTCACCCTCATTGCAGTCGTGCCACGTACCGTCGCCAAGGAACTGCACCCTCAGCTTGCCCCCACTGCACTGCGTGTTCACGCACACATCGCCAATCTCTTGGTAATCAAAACGAAGCCCCTGCCCCTTTACGCACCGTGAGCTCGAGCCAATGAAGCTTCCAGGGAATTTATTGGGGTTACCGTTTATACATCCAGACGCTTCACGCCCCATAACATACGGACAGTAGTCCATAGACTCAAAACCTCCATGTGTGGGGTCATCAAAGTACTGAAACTCCGGTGCAATGGGCTGCGAGTGAGTCTGTATCCCACAGTACCCCAGAGAAAGACGATCATACGTGCAGAGCAGCCTGCCTTCGATTGACGTCTGCCCGCAGAACAAGTCAGGGTAGTCGGTGCGGCCATTGGTCAAGCACTTATTTTCCAGCAGCCCGCAACCAGAGTTGTTGCCCCACCGCAACGTGTCCGCCATGCCGTAGTTAGCCTTGAACACACCCATGTCCTCAAATGCCGCAAGCGTGAATGCCGAGTAATAAATGACCGGGGGGTAAGCCATCATCAACTCGTCCAATACGCTGCGTTTCTTCCAGTGTCCCCTACCACCCGACTCGTCCAGCTCCATGCCCTCAAGTGTGGGGCAATTGTAGTACTTCCTCACCAGCGCCTTCACCTTCGGTGAGGAAATTACCCACACATATTCTTTCCCTCGCACATTGGGGATATGGGAGATCATATTGAACCTCTTAAACTGTTCGTGCGAAAACCCAATAGCGTGCCCAATTTCGTGCGCTGCAATACCAACAGCTTCATGAGTAGCCCTTATGTGCTGGGGGTCAAAGTTCATGGCGCCAACGTATGGGCGTCCGTCCATCAGAATAACGCACATATTCGCCGATGCAATGGAGGTTGCACTGGGGAGTGCGTTGACGTAGAGAATCAGGTCGGCGCCGCTCACACCGATCGTGTGGTGCGAGGAAGGGATAGTGAAATCGTTGCACCGCCCTAGACCTCTTGTTGGTATGGGGATGGGGACCTCCACAGGCTTCACGGAGAGACGCTCGGTGTGCATCTTAATTGCGGCTGGGATGAGTTCCTTCAAAATAATGTCCTTCTTCGCCTCCGTCAAAATAGATTTTTCTGTGCATTTCACCGTGTTGCCATTGGGCGCTCTCAGATACCCCACTGCGGTACAGTACCTCGACGGATCATCCATGTCCTTCGCAAAGACCTTGATGCGGATCGGGGCCCACTCATTCTCCAAGCCTTGTGTAGCGATGGTGTACGCATGCATCGCGCCAGGTCTTCTGCGCGGCACGTCACGCACTACCGCAGTCGCCGGCGACCCCGCCCCCATCATCTCGCCAAACCCGCAGTGGTGCTTCCTGGCGGAATCGTCAGCGAGGCACCCAGCGGCGCAACACACCAACAGCAGCAAAAACACCTCCAATAAGAGGAACGGCGTACTGCGGCGTGGCTGGCACATCGCCTGACGAAACTGTCCTTGTTTGCGTTTGAACATCAGCAGCAGCATTATTAGTGGTAGCAGTAGTAGCAGTAGTAGTGCTGGCGCAGACCTTTTCCGCGGGGAAAAAAAAACAAAAAAATGAATACAACGATAGTCAACGCCCTCGCCCACAGTTGGGCATCCCGCAAAAAAACAGTAACAATCCATAACGAAGGCCGCACCGACGAACGCGTGGGCCGCACGATCACACACTCACCCCGCCCACAAGACACGCCAGACGCAAAGAAGACGGCGGTAGCAGCGACTGTTGTGCGCAGCCGGAAGAAACACCCACCCGCACCCGCACGGAGAGTCCGCAGTGTGGGACGCCCCGCAGAAATCAAAAATAATACAAAACAAATTCATAAGCACCTCGCTTACCGTCTCCCCCGCCCAGCCCCTTCAAACCCCGCCAGCGGCAACACGCAGTGCGCATGCCGGCGGGACCTCCTCCCATCGCAGCCCTTACAAAAACCCCAACGCCACCCCACTTCCCTCAGCGCACTGCAGCAGGAGTGGGGCGCAGCGTAACAAACAAAAATAATAATAAAAATAAAAAAAGACGCATGCAGCACCATTTCTTCCACGCCTCGTTCCGCTTGCAAGCGAGGGCGACGCCAGCGCAGCCGTGGTCTAAGACTGCCCGATCAGTGCTTGCAACTCGAACAAGACGGAACAGGCGCATGCGCCCAGGACGGCAAACCAACAAAAGAAAGGCGACAACGGTGTTTGCTCGAGGCTCTCAGCGGTGCATGCGGCACCCCCCATTGGAGCTGCACGCCAACCAAAAACGATGGCACCCAAAAAACAAAAAGGAAAAACATCACGCCAACACACAAAAGCAATCACAATAATTCGGTTTGCCCCCTGACCTCTGGGCTGTGGTTGCCGCCGCATTTGCTTTGCTGCCTGTGAACCCACTCAGCATGCAAAACTTACCCTCTCGCCCAAACTCTCTGCAGAAACAAACTGGGAACAGCGAGGAGGCATCACCAATGGAATACTGCTGGCGTGCACCCACAAGGCGCCATCATTCCCCACGCAATTTTTCTCACAACCACAAAAAGTGCTGCTATGGTAGCGCTGGCCACGATAATCATTTGGCGCACGGCAGAGCGAGTCCCTAAGAACGCCTCCTACCCACACACAAACACACTTAGCAATATATCATACTCCCTAAAATACGTCACCAGTAAACTCAAGCTGCTTGTTCCCCTCCTCCTTTTCCTTGTCCCTCTGGTTGCCGCCCACGTTGGGTTTGTCGTTCACTTCTGAAATTTTCAGCTAACACCGCCACCTGGCACTGACGCACCCGCTGATTCCAAAATGCCGCAATGGCCTGAGGATCCTCACGCTCATTGCGGCCCGCCACATTTGTGTGCGCGACGACAACACACCCCTGCCACGCGTTTATTGCCGTACTGTCCTCATGCTGCACGTAAATCATCTCCCACGACAAGTCTTCCGCAAG